GGCGAGAGTCGGGGATCGTCCCAAGAGGAGTGGCGTCGGTTGACGAACCTAGGGAGAGGTTGTAATCGAGCACTTGAGGGAGACACGTCTAGTTCAACACTTAGTGGGTGTAGAGTGGGATTACAATAGTGTTGTTGTAAGTTCGCGTGACTAGAGAACGATGTGTGAGGAGGTTGGACGTTGATCGCGTGACGTTGAAAACCGATCATAGGAGTTTTGTAACGTTATTCGGGTGAACGTAAACCCGATTGTGATAGTGGATTTCTCCCCGGGGGTGAGGGCGGAGACGTAGAGGAATATATCCGAACTCGTGATCTGAGTGTTGTGTTTGAGTTTGTCATTGTCGCTTGCTTTGTGCATTTATCTTATGATCACCAATTGTGCATTTCTCTCATTGTTTATTATCCACTACTATCATTGTTTTTATGTTACCCTTGTGTTTTACATATCCTGTGTATACAATATGATATACCTCATCTTGCTAGGATATAATCACCTTTGTGTATATTGCATTATATCTTGCACTAACTCTTTTAATCTATCTTGCCAAGATTATATTTGTTAATTAATTTTAATTGGCATAAAATCGGATTAGATTAGTATAAGACCCTAATCACCCCTCTCTAGGGTCTAACAATTGGTATCAGAGCTTAGTGCTCTTTGATTTAAGGTCTAACCACCTTGAGTTAAAGATCCAAGTTATCTCTTTGTGCTAATCTTGTTTTGATTACATTTGTATCTTGCTTGTATATTTTTACAAATTATGGATATGAATCATGCATCTTGTTTAGGCTATGATTCTAGTGTTTCTCCTAAATTCAATGTTTTCCCCTATGCTCAATGGTGCTTTAGATTCAAAATATTTGTTCAATATAAAAATATCGATTTATGAGAAATCATTGATTGTGCTTATATTATGCCCACGTTGGAGAAATCCAAGTGGGGCAAACATGATAAAAAGATGTTTATTATGAACAAGCTTATGTTAGAATTTTTATTAAATGCATTTGACTCATTTATGTCTAACAAGCTTGATTCTTTTGATAGCGTTTATACATTATGAAAATTTATAAAAGCGCATCAAGGAGACTTGGAGGCGATCCGACAAGCTTTGGAGGATCCCGCTTCAAGTTCATATGGAGCATCATGCACACGGCCACTAGGCGATAGCTCTAGTGAGGTTTGCGAGTTCGAATCTATTAATGATTTACCTAATGATGAACTTGCTTGTGCTAGTGAAAGATTATTGCATGCCTACAACAAATTGCACAAAGATTTTATTGATTTACAAAGCAAGCATGATGCATTAAAATACGATCATGAGTTATTAGCTTCTAGGTTTGAAACTATTCATGATTCTTTAATTTCAAATGTTGCTAGTTTAACTCATGAAAAAGATAATGCCATATTAGAAGTAGAGAATATGAAAATTAGAGTTCCTTCTTTTGCAAATAACTATAGATGTTCTACTTCTAATGTTAATGCTAATATGCCTAATGATGAGTTGAACAATGTTAAAAACCGTATTTTTTCTTTAGATTCAACTCTAGCTACATGCATTAACAATCACAAGAAGCTTATGGATATGTGTGCCAAGTTTAAGTTAAAATCATCTACTCATTATGCACACATATATAGCAAAGTTTACAAATGCTCGATTTGTGGTCGTAAATGCCATTTAGCTAAATTTTGCTATGATGCACAAAAACATAAGAATATTAATTCTTCTTGTGCATCTCATCAAGTTTCTTCATCACATGTACACACACATGCACCTATTTCTCATCATAAGTATGCTCATGTGTATTATTGTGATTTTTATGGTAGAGTTGGTCACTTAGCTAAGTTTTGTTTTTGATTTGCGAAAAGTTTCTAAATCGCAAAATATTTCAAGTAGACCAACATTGTTTCAAAATGTTTCTCATTTGCAAAATAATCTTAAAAGACCATCTTTATTTGCAAATGTTCCACGTGCACCTTTTAATGGTCAACATAAGCAAATGCTTCCTTTCCATTATACATATTGCAATTAGAAGGGTCATTTGAGTGATTATTGCTATGACCGATCCCGTGCACCACATATCTCCAAGAGGGTTCATAACCCTAGGGCTTTGAGCTTTAATGATAGGGGTCATGTCCCTAAACAAACCGGCACTAAGAATACTTGGGTGTCAAAATAATTTTTAAGCTAAGAATATTAGTACTTTTATTTTTATTTTTATTTTTCTTGGTTTTTAAAAAATGTATTTTAAACTTTTATGAAAACAATTCCTTTTATTGGTCAAACTCTTTTGTTTTCATGATTATTGGTTTTGTTTTGATGAGAGGTTTGTACTTACTTAACCCTCCGGATTTATTGGGTGTTTATTCCCAAATCTTGTTTACCGGGTGTTAAAATGTTTATATGGGTTGATACTAGCTCAAGAGCTAGATATAGTTACCTCTCTTGATTTTTGAATCACTAGCTCAAGAGCTAGATATAGTTACCTCTCTTGATTTTTGAATCAATGATGATTTGATTTTACGTTTTTGAATTTAAACTTTGATTTATGATTTTTGAATCAATGATGATTTGATTTTACGTTTTTGAATTTAAACTTTGATTTATGATTTCTTTTGGTTGATTTGTTTTCATTTAAAAACTTGCATGATTCTCATGTTCCTCTTCTTTTGATTTCATAAATCTATTCTTTTATATGGTTTTTATATTTTTTGTGTTAATGAGACACTTCTTTCATATTAATATATTTATATGTGTTTTCATTATCTTTTTGTATGTGAGTGATATTTAGCATATTCATGTATGCTTGCTCACATGTTTGCCATGATCCTTTATTGCATATATTTTATATGGCACTTTGATAGGGGGAGCAATTCATATATCTTTCTATGTGTTATACTCACCCATGCATATTGATAGGGGGAGCTTTCGCTCTCTTAATTCTTTTGGTTCCCCTTTTTGATGTTGACTCCCACTGTGATCGCCAGCGTATTTGCATCGAAAGTTATTTTTATTGCTGAATCCATTACACGTTTATCAATTATAGATTCAAAGTAAAATTAGAATTTTCACAAGACTTTCTTATACAATAAAAATAAGAAAAATACAACTCTATAGAAACATACGCAGAGGACGTTTATCACCTGTTGCTTGCGTGGGATCTTTGTCTGTGCCGGGGACACATTAGTCCGTGAACTGCCTAGGATCAGATCCAGTTGATAGAATAAATTTTTGATACTCTTGCTTCACAAAGGAAATAATCGCAAAAGTAAGTGAGATTACTACTCTTCTCAAGATCAAAACAAAGTCTGATCTCAAGGAATGATGAAATGGGCCTGAGATCCTTCAAATAGCTCTCTCTTTATGCTGGAGTTGGCCAAGATCTGCTAGCTGTTCTCTGAAATTCGTGGTTTACTCTTCATAGTGACAACACCTCGCCTAAATTTCAGATCCCCCGCATATAGGACCCTAGGCTTGTATTTATAGGCTTCAGTTACGGTGTTTTTGGATAAGAACAAGTAATTTGGCCTTACTTCAGTTAATAATGGTCTAACCACGTTTAAAGATATTATTCAAATGGTTGGGAGGCTCTGAAATGAACAAATCCCGAGAAAACATTGAAATACGTGTTTTCAGCGTTTCTGAGCGTGAACCACCCTTTGGTGGCTCGACCTTAGCCTAGCCACCTTGGGGTGGCTCGACATGCCTAGCCTCCTTGGGGTGGCTTGGCACTGTGCCTAGCCATTTGGCCTTGGCTTAGCCACCTTGGGGTGACTCGGCACTGTACCTAGCTACCTGGCCTTAGCTGAGTCATTTTGATGCGACTCGGCTGCCAGGGACTTCTCCGGACTTTCCGGTTTGGTCTTATTCCGCCGTTTTGCACATTTCATCGTTTCGTTGACTCGTACGCTTTATTGACTTGCTTTGTACACTCGTTAACTCTTTTACGGCACGGATAATCCTGTTTGACTCAGATAATGACGTTCGTCGCCTTCTCTTCATTTTGAGCTGTGTGTGTGAACTTATAGGTAATTTTTAACGTCTACAACCATAGCAAAGACACCAAAAACTGTGCAGATAATCATAATTGGGCACTTTGTTAAAAAGAACCTCATATGGTGTCTTGTTTCCTAACACGGTGGGTGGCATTTGATTGATGAAGTATATTGTCGTGAGAACAAATTCTCCCCAAAATGTGTTGGAAGATGAGCTTGAAATCTAAACGCTCTTGCAACTTCTAACAAGTGTCGATGTTTGCGTTCAACTACTCTATTTTGTTGAGCAGTATCAGTGCAACTTGACTATCGTTCCATGCCATGTGCATTATAATGACTCAAGAGGTCATGGTGGTTTAATTCAAGGCCATTATCTATCCTCAAGACTTTCACTTTGAAGTTGAACTGTGTCAGTACCCACTGAAAGAAATATAATAAATAATCACGCGTCTCTAACTTAAACGTCATGAGAAATACCCAAGTCACTCTACTGTAGTCATCAACTATGGTCAAAAAATAGTGTGCTCCAGATAAGGACTTGGTCCTATAGAGGCCCCATATATTGCAATGAATTAAATAAAAAATATTTAGAGATTTATTCATATGAATAGGAAAAGGTAGGTACAGGGCCGGTTCTGAGATTTTAGGGGCCATGTGCGAAAAGTAAACACATGACACTTCTCTATATACAAAATATCAATAAATTCCAATTTGAATCCCTAAAATGCTAGGGAACAAAATATTACTAACCAGACATTAAAATGTTACCTGATTTATTTGCATCTGGATAGTCTTTAACATACTTTTCGAGCGCTGTTGCCCATTCTTTATCTCTTCGGTCACCTGAATAAAATATTACTGATCAGATAAATACATGTAATCTCACATTAATAAAGCTTTCCAATAGAGCAAACAATCCACAATAAGAAACAATTGCATATTATGTTCCTCTTGTATTTGTGCTTACCTTCATCAGATATCGAAGCCTTTAGCATCAAAAAGTATCATCGAAAAATTGTTCTCCTTGCATTTTTAGCTGCAAAATCACTAATTAAACCTTCAACATCAATTTTATCTAAAAAATCATTTTCAATGGATATCAAAGCTAGTCCATTTAGTCTTTCTTGTGACATGGTCGATCTCAGATAAGATTTTAATAATTTTAATTTTGAAAAACTTCTTTCTGCAGATGCGACTGTAACAGGTATAGTCAATAATATTCTATAAGCAACACATGCATTTGGAAAACAATTTCGTATTTTTAAGAAATTCAGTATATCAATAGCCATCTTTGTTTCTTTTGGTAAAATATTTCGTAAGATTTTTAGTTCTCCAAATAAATCTTTCCCATCAAGATCAGAAAATGTTTTATATTTTAGAACAATTTCAAGATTATCACAACATGCTTTCAAATTATTATCATCTAATGAATTTAACTTTTTTGAACCAAACAAAAATCCAAAAATATCTTCATATGCTTTATATTGCTCAAACCTTATCTTTAGTGAACCAATAGCTTGGTCTACAATATACAAAAAATAATTGGTTCTAAAAGATTCTTCAGCTGATTGTGTTGTCTCCTCATTAACATTCTCATCAAATTGTCTTTTTCTACGGATTTGATGTTTTACTTGAAATACAGAATCAATTTCCATTTCAGTAGCAATTTCTTTAGCAATTGTCATAGCTTGTGTGAGCCCAACTTCTCTATAATCCTCGAAAAACCTAATCAATCCTTTTACTTGATCTATAGCAATATCAATAAGCATGTCTTTAGATTGTAAAGATTTGCTAATTAAGTTAACAGCAAACAATATATCATACCAAATAATCATACTTAATAAAAATTCAAAATTTTCAATTCCATGTGTTGCTAAAGAATCTGCTGCACTCTTTATTTTGGAGTCATTATCAGTTTCTGCTAACTGAAGTAGTGCTTCTCTTATTTCAAGTGTTTGGAATCTAATTGCTTTAACGCTTTCAATATGGTTTTCCCAACGTGTAGCCGACAATGGCTTCACAGTTAAACCTTTTACATTATTTATCAAAATTTGCCATCGCTTTGTTTAGTGAGAAAATAATGTATAAATGCATTGTATCACTCCAAAAAAGTATTTTGCTTTACCACAACAATTTACCATACCACAAAGTGTTAAATTAAGACTATGACAACCACAAGGTGTGTATAATGCTCTAGGATTTATATCAAGTAATTTTTTTGTACACCTTGGTGTCTCCCTTTCATATTAGACCCATTATCATACCCTTGACCTCGTACATTATCAATATCAAGATTAAGAGTTTTTAGTACATCTTGCAATTCATCAAAAAGTCCTTGTCCAGATGTATCATTTACTTTTAAAAATTCTACAAAAAATTCTTCTATTTGTATCGGGCTTGTAGAAATATCGACACATCGTAATATTAAAGTCATTTGTTCTTGGTGACTTGTATCCGGAGTACAATCAAGTATTACTAAAAAATATTTAGCTTCTTTAATTTTTTGAAATATTGCACATTTGATTTTAGAAGCTAACATACTTATCAATTCATTTTGAATGCTATGACTAAGATAATGATAATGAATTTCACCATGATCAATACGTCTAACATGTTCTTGCATTATCGGATCCCATTCTGCAATCATTTCAATTAAGCCTAAAAAATTTCCATTATTATTTTGATAAATTCTCTCATTTGTTCCTCGAAATGCCAAGTTATGTTTAGCAAGATATTTAACAACCGAAATTATTCTTTGTAATACTTTCTTCCAATATTCCTTCTCTTTATTAACTTGTTTTTGAATATTTTTATCGATTGTTTTGTTTTTTTTATCTTATGCATAAATCAAGCCAAGTACTCATATTAATGATGTGCTCATTAGTTGCTTCATGTTTTTTAAGCCTAGTACTAAGATGTATCCAATCATTAAATCCTTCATTTATTAAAAAACTTTTCTTAATACAATTTTTAAACAATTTACAACAAAAACAAAATACTTTATCGATATCCTTTGAATAAACTAACCATTCCCTCATTTTTAAACAATTTACAACAAAAACAAAATACTTTATCGATATCCTTTGAATAAACTAACCATTCCCTATCGCATTTCTCTCCATTTGATAAATGCCTAGTGTAAAATGCCGAAGAAAAACACCTTCCTAATTTATCTTTAGGACCTTTTTCGACTAATAGATCTCTTATATGACCATTTTCCACTAATATATCTCTAGATTTTGTGTCTAAATTATCCCAAGTTCTTGGATCATAAATATTCAAAATATTTTCATTCTCATTTTTATTGTCAATATCAATTTCATTCTGATCCCTATTCTCATTTTTACTTTTATTTTCATTTTTATTCTGATTCTCATTTTCATTATCATTTTAATTTTCATTATCATTCTCATTTTCATTTTCATTCTGATTCTCATTTTCATTCTCATTTTCATTGTCAATATCAATTTCATTCTGATCCTGATTCTCATTTTTACTTTCATTTTCATTTTCATTCTGATTCTCATTTTCATTATCATTTTCATTTTCAATATGATTCTCATTTTCATTATGATTTTCATTTTCATTATGATTCTCATTTTCATTATCATTTTCATTTTTATTTTGATTATCAATATTTTCATTCTCATACTCATTCAAGCCCAAATCATTAATGTTATCATTTTCAATTGAATTTTCAACTAAATCTTGTATTTCTCTAACAATAAATTTATCAAGCGATCCACTTTGAGTTTGGATAAATTGTTCAATTTTTCTTTTTTTCTTGCGTTTATCATATCTAGAAGGATATTTTCTTAGAGGCATTTATATAATAAAGTATTACTAATTACAATCAAATTGAAAGAAGTCAAGATTCGGAACAATACAACCTGATGAACAGCTCCGGCTGAGAATCGACCTTGCTCTTATCCGTCAAGCTCTCGTAACGATTAACGAATCTTATCCAAAGCCTTTGCAAGTTGCAACAACAACTGAACAACTGAACAACAAAAATCAAACAAAGGCATCAAATGAACTGAAGAGCTCCTCAAACAACAAAAACCCTAAGTAATCCCAAAAAAAGAGACCCAAATCTTACATGATCTTAATCTGTTATCTGTGATTTTGATTCCGAGTTCGACAGCAGCCAGCGGGGGCAGCGACGGCGACAGCGAGCTCGACAGCGGCCAGCGGGGGCAGCGACGGCGATGGGAGTCGACACCGGCCACGGGGGCGCGACAGGAGACGTGCGAGCTCGACACGCCGACCACGGGGCACGACGGCGAGCTCGGAGCTCCGATTCGAGCTTAGCGGGGGCGACGATGGTGATTCCGAAGTCTGACGGTCAGCGAGGGCGGCGACGGCGAGCTCGGAGCTCCGACAGTCCGACGACGACGCTGACTGTTAGGGGCGACTACGGTGCGGTCCGTGTATAGCAGCGGAGGAGAGAGCTCAAAGAGATGGGGGCGGCGGCTAGATCTGAATCATCTGATTTGTGAGATTGGTTTCTTTTGAAGCTGGGGTTTTGATTTGGACGGTTGACATTAAGTGGTTTGTGAAATGGACGGCCCATATTTGCTCTCCATATATATATATTATATATATATATATATTATATATATATATATAATATATATATATATATATATATATATATATATATATATATACATATATATATAATATATACATATATATATATATATATATATATATATATATATATATATATATATATATTATATATATATATATATATATATATATTATTATATATAATTATATATATATATAAATTTAAAATTGGGGCCCCAAAATTTGGGGCCCTGTGCGGGCGCACAGATTAACTCCCACAGAGCCAGCCCAGGTAGGTAGTCTCGTTTGTTTGCCTTACAACAAGGCATCGACACGAAATGTTATTCCCATCTATCAAAAATGATAAATTTGGAACAAAGGAAAGACGGTTCATCGGAAGGTGCTCCAATCATCGATGCCATGAGCCGGAGCTCGTCGAATGATTTGCCATTATAGGCAATAAAAATTGCCTATACACAAGAGAACTCAAATCTCATCTATTTGAGTTCGCCTGAGTGCTCAAGATTGTAAATGCAAACTAGCAAGCAAAGATGGCCTACATTCAGAAGGTCAAGCAAAGCTCGCCTGTTTGCTTGACTTGGCAGCACAAGTCAAGCTCGTCTGCATTCTGGAGGCCAAGCAAAGCTCGCCTGTTTGCTTGACTTGCCAGCGCAAATCAAGCTCACCTGCATTCAGGAGGCAAAGCAAAGCTCGCCTGCAAACTCGCCAGCCCAAGTCAAGCTCGCCTGCATTCAAGAGGCCAAGCAGAGCCCGCCTATGCTCGCCTGCACGAGCCAAAGTTCGCCAATATGGCTTGACTCGCCCACACGAGTCAAGTTTGCCTGTTTGTTTGACTTGTCAGCACAAGTCAAGCTCGCCTGTTTTTTTGACTCGCCAGCACGAGTCAAGCTCGCCTGATTTCTCGACTGGCCCGCATGAGTCGAGCTCGTCTGATTGCTTGACTTACTCGCACGAGTCAAGCTCGCCTAATTTCTCGACTCGCTCGCACGAGGCGAGCTCGCCTGAAAGCTATGCTCACCTACAGGGAGTTCGCCAGCACGAACCAAGCTCGCCTACAGACTCCCCGCCAGCCGGTCATGCCTGTTCGCTAAGCTCGCCTGCAAGCTCGTCTGAGCATTCTTACACCGCTCAAGCTCGCCTGTAAGCCTGCCAGCCTAGCCTGAGCAGTGCAAGCGGTTGCTTGCCTGTAGGACTGGGTATACCCACATCCCACATCCTGAGTGATAAAGCACGACTCTCATCACCTATAGTGGTCACATCACACAGCTATAAGGGAGGGTATGGTGCTCCTCATCTGTGAGCGGTCACATCCCACAAGTCAAGGGATTGACCATGCCTTTCCTTGCCTATTTATCAGCCACCTTTGGCAACATGAAAGAGGCTTTTTTTGGGAGGTTTGTGAAGCTTGACATTTCTAAGACTCTTCAATCAGAGGCTTTTTTGCTGCTAGTCTTGTGGGCTTGATCGGCTGGGCACCTTGAGAGCTTGGTTGGACATTCTTAAAAAAAGCTTAGATTGTTGAAGTAGACTCAATCTGAACTTTCAGATTTAAGACTCTTGACTCTTTGCAAACTCCTGCGTATTAGCCTTCTCTAAGCATTCGGCCTTGATACTCATCAAGCTCGGGTAATCGAACTCAATCACACAAGAGCTTCTACTGTGTACTGAAGCTCAACCGCAGTTTCGATCGGATCATCCAAGGGAAGCAAACTCGACGCAAGCATTCGAAGGAGACGTCCTATCGCTACCGAAGACCCCACGTTAAACAAGAAAAGCGTTCTCTTCGCTTCTATTGTAACTTGATTTCTTGATTTGTAATAATTAAGCAATTCTTATTAATACAAATCTCCTCCTTTCGGGAATCAATTTTACTCCCCTACAGCCACCAATGATTTGCCCTCTCCCCTGGGTTCCAAGTAATACAAGTCATTCCGGATCCTACCCACTCCAATCAGTGTCATCAAGTGTAAGTCCTGTATAACACAAAGATCCGACTAAACAATCGGTGCACAATTCAAATGACGAGCCAACTTGTTGACCGACAACAAGTTAAAAGGAATAATCTGGCACGCCGGGAACATTTTCAAGAATCAGCCACTTGGCCCAAGCTTACTTGACCCAAGCTTACTTGACCCAAGGCATGAATATTAACAGTGCCATCATTGGGTGTTTGAGCAGGTGGTATCTTAGGATCAAGAATAACGTTAGACAATTGAGCAATTTCGCAAGAGATATGATCAGTCGCTCCAGTGTCAATAACCCATGACGTCTTATTTTCCTTATCTCGGAGAATCGTTCACCATATGTATTTGCAGAAGGAGTAGCGGCTGTTTCGATTCCACCAAGGAATGCTATCAGCTGCTGGTGCTGTTTCTGGTGAGCCTAGGGATCAGTGAATTTGAGGAAACTCCATCGACAGTGTCCGAAAATTCCTGGTTCACGATGAGCATGGATCGAGGAACCAGTGCCACTGCCTTCGGTTTTGGAATCGTTGTGGTTCTTCCCGGCAGCTTGAAATAGTGGGTCGTTTCCTCCAATGAGAGGGATACCCGTTGAGTTCGAAGCACTCTTCACTTTGGAGTTGAACTGTGACCCAACTTGTTGTAGCTAGTGAGTGCAACGAACCCACTCCCCGTGTCGGCCTGAATTGGCTTGTCGTCCATTGTTGTTGCGTGGACCCATGCCTCCATTCCCTTTCACGATTAGGGTACGTTGCTGCTTCCATCACAGGCACACGCGCTGTAGTGACAAGCTTTTGCTTCTTCTCTTCCTGTGCTGTGATTGCATAGGCCCAGCCCAAGCTTGGTAATGGATCAACACGTACTGAGCGCCGGGGACTGCACCGTAGGAAAAGTGTCGTCCAGTCCCACGAGAAAGTCATAGACTTTCTGCTCTCTCACATTAACTAACTGCTTTTTCTTTGCCGCTGCACAGGTACAACCGCACGTACAAGTAGACGGGGTGAAGAACTTGCAGTTCACCCCACACTGCTTTCAATCTTCCATAGTATGATGAGATAGGGGCCTTCTCCTGTTGCAATAATGCAATCGCACGCTTAAACTCATAGATCCTTGGAGCCAAACCTTGTGTGAATTGTTCTTCGATCCAAATCAACCCACACTTCATTGGCTACATTGACATAAGCCACACCACGTTGCAATTCCTTGGCAAGTGAGTTCATGAGCCGTGACAACACAACAGTGTTGCATTGCACCCATGGTTGGAAGTCTGGGGAATCGACGTCCGGCATACTAATAGTTCCATCCACGAATCCTAACTTGTTCTTCAAAGCGAAAGCATTCCGTATATATGTTCTTTCGCCAAGTGAAATAATTTTCACCATCCTCACTGAGGGGATGGGTGACAAAGATCAACCCTGGGTGATCAAAATGATGCAAATAGTATGGTGAGTTGTTATTGATTGCCTTGCTTTGTGAGTGATACGAGTCGCCGTACGAGCACCTTTGATCGCGAAATTATCAAAGGTGGGTTGAGAAGAGGATGACAGAAACACAAGAACAATTCA